GAGGTAGGGTAGAAACAGAAAGTGGTGGAGGGAAAATGGAGACAACTGAACTTGAACAATAATATAAAAATGCAACCCCCCCCAAACTGTGGTACATCACAAAAGAAATACTATGCAGCAGAAAGAAAGAAGGAACTCCTGCTCTTCACAATAGCATGAATGGAACTGGAAAGAGAGCATTATTCTAAGTGAAATAAGCTAGCCAATGAAAACAAATACCATATGATCTCACCTATAAGTGGAACCTAAGCAACAAAACAATCAAATGAGCAAAGAGACCTGGAAATAAAGAACAAATTGACAGTTACCAGAGCAGAGGGGCAAGGTGGATAATAGGGAAACAAAGGGAAGAGGGATACAAAACAAGAATAGAAGACTCATGGGCATGGACAATGGTGTGGGGGATTGTGGGTATGGGGGGGTGATGGTGGAGGGGAGAGTAATGGGGAAAAATGTGGGATGATTGTAACTGAACAATAAAAAAATAAAGTCAGATCATGTCATTCTTCTGTTCAAAAACTCCACTAAATTTCCCTCAGTAAGAGTTAAAGTCAAAGTCCTTTTTGGTCTGGAAGGCATTCCCTGAACTTTTCCTGTACTACCTTTTTCTGACCTCACTGTCTATCTTCTCCCTTTTGCTGACTCTTTTCTTGCTCCTTGACCGAGCAGATATTCTTCAAACTTGCCAAGCATACACCTCTTATACAATGTTTACATGTACATACCTTCCCTAATACAACACTATGACTCGTTCAATTACTTCATTCTAACCTCTAATTAAATGCCAACTTATGAGATCACTCTTTAGAAAAACAGGACCCTCATCAATCTACTTTATTTTTTACAGTGTACTTTCATCACATGACATATTTCTATTTCCCCAACATTATTATGAAAACTTTCAAACAAAAATATTAAAAGAATTAGCCCATGAAATCCCACATTCCTAATACCAAACTATAAAATAAACATTTGGCTCTACTTGCCTGATCAAATATATGTCCCTCCATCAACCCATTTTGTACACATCAGTATATTCACTTCTAAACTCCATAGATTATACTTTAACTTCTTTACTTCTGTATTGTCTGCCCCTTATTGTACCTGTATTTAGTATATATTTAATAACTTTGATAAATGAATAGTCATTGGTATTTTTATTAATCTCCAAGAATGACTGTGAAGCAACTCAAAAAGTGTGACTCATTGTTTAAATATAGTGCATGCCCCCTGCACTCAACAATAAAATTATTGGGTTGGCCAAAAAGTGTATGTTTTTTTCTGTAAAATAAAAGACATATTTTTCATTTTCACCAATTACTTTACTGATTTAGGTATTTTGAGTATGTTGGCTGTCTCCCTCATGATACAACGTTGATTGTTCTCAATGTCTCGATCTGATCGCTATCAACTTCAGCTGGTCTACTTCATTGGTGGATCATTGTTCAGCAAGAAATCTCCAGTAAGAAACCTGGCAAACCACTTTTGATACTTTGATCAGTCACAACACCTTATCCAGACACTGCACAAATCTTTTTTTGCATTTCAGTTGTGTTTTTATCTTTCTTGATATAATAAAGCATAATATGTCCAAAATGTTGCTTATTTTCTTCCATCTTCAATATGAAAATGTTTACACAAAAATTCACCAATTTTGATAAGCTTTTTAAAAATGCATGCTGACATGACAGCTGTCACAATACAATCTAACAAAATTGTTCAAATGAAGTTAAAGAAAACTAAGTGTTATTAGAGCCATTTTACAAAAAAAAAAAAAAAAAGAGAGAGAGAGAACTTTTTGGCCAACCCAATAAAAAATTCCTTACTAAACCTGCAAAAATGCATTGTCTAGAACCTGCTTCCTATTCATCTTCATTTTAAGGTGCTCTCACCTTCACTCACCACGCACCCATTATACTGGCCTAAAGGAAGTTGTTTAGGCTGAAATAAAAGAACAAGAGATAACTTGAATCCACAAAAGAAGATCCCAAGAAAAGGTAACTAGATAGAGAAATATAAGACTATATAAATGTATTTTTGTTTGGAACTCTTTGCTTTTTCTATCTGATTTAAAAGATCACCATATAAAGCAATAATTATTAATATGTGTTGATGGCCTATTAGTTTCCTATTTATGATATAACAAATCAACATAAACATAGTAGCTTAAAACAACCCAAGATTTATTATCTTACAGTCCCGGAGGTCACAAGTCTGACAGAGGTTTTAAATGGTTAAAATAAATGTGTCCACAGCAAGACTGTGTTCCCTTCTGAAGGCTCAAAGGAAGAATCTATTTCATTGTCTTTTCCAACTTCTAAGGGCTGCTTATTTTAACACATCATGGCCCCCTTCCTCTATCTTCAAAGTCAGCCTATTGCCATCTTTCTGTGCATGTCTTCCGTTGTCACACCTCTGACTCTGATCTCACAGAGTCCTTTGATCTCAAGGACTCTGTGATTGCACTGAGCCCAGGTGGATAATCTAGGGTCCCTATTAGAAGGCCTGCTCATTCACAACATTAATTCCTCTTTGCCTTGTAAGGGCAACACATTTATAGGTTCCAGGAATTAGGATATGGACATCTTTGGTGGAGTCATTACTCTGCCTACCAATGTTTACTTAGGATTAATCCAAACTAAATTATGTTAAATTAAGATGTAATTGAAATTTTGGGGGCAACCACTGAGAAAATAACTCTAAAAACAATAGTAAAAGACAATCATAAAACTAAAAGGGGACTCTAGAAAACATATATTTAACATAAATTACAGTAATAACAGAATGAAGTATAAAACAAAAATAACAAATGTAGAAAACACACACCATGTCAGACATAAATCCTACCCTATTAATAATCACATTAAATGTAAACATTAAATACTCAAACAGGTGGCAGATATAGGCAGGAGGTATTAAAATAACATGATCCTAATATATGCTGTCTATAAGAAACACTCAATTACAGGACACAAAAAGGTTAAAAGAAAAAAATTGAAAAGACATACTATGCAAAGACTAATCAAAAGTAAGCTTCAATAGGTATATTATTATCAGACAAAATAGACATTAAGACGAAAATTGTAACTAGAGAAAAAAAGAATATTTTATAATAAGAAGGTCAATCTCAGGAAATTATAAGTCATAAGTGTTGGGAACCACCCTGCTTGGTTTTAGAAGCTATAACCCCCCACAGCTAAGGCAGAGTGAGAGACTTTGGGCCCCTAAGTCACTAAGGAGACAAAGGTTACCTCCCTGGCAGGGGTGTTGCCTCTGTCCCCTTGTACTTCACCCTGCTTGGCCCCAGCAGATGACTGGTTAGCCAATGAAGGGTAAGATTCCTCAAGGGAGGGACAACCTAAGACAGGCATGGTCACAAAGGGGCCCTCAGGGAAGGACCAAGGGGGCTACAGAAAAAGGGGGCGATGGACCTTGGCTTTGACATAGCCTGAGTCTTCATTCGGTCTGTGAGAAGTTTCCTACTCTCTTGGCTGCGTTACTTCCCCTGCCTGACTTAAGCCTGAAACAATGCTGAAGGGCAGTGTAGCCCTGGGCAGGAATGGGTGGTTCCCCAGGGTGATCAGGCCTAAGAAAGAATGAATAAGATCCTATGAAACCTACTTTGCTAAGAATATCCTCAATGTAAATGATAAGGGTCCAAGCATGAAATGAGTTCGTTTCTTAAAGTTTTACAGCCCTTTAACTGACGCTGACTCAGAATAAGCCCTCACAGTTCTTTATATGTTACCTATTGTTGGATCCTTACTGCTTGGCAATGACTGATAAGCTTTACCTGTATTCCTGTGCAAAATGAACCCAATTAAAGCCCACTGATTAAAAGAATCCCAAGCAGATCATGTCTTGTTAGACTTTTTCTCATCCATGGTGGACAGGGGGCTCTGCAGGCAAAGCTCCCCCACACACACAAGCATATAGGCAACTAATTAAAGAGCCTCAAAATACATGAAGCAATGCTAACAGAAATGAAGAGAAAGACAATTTGACAATTCAATGCCCTACTTTCAATAATGGATAAACTAGCCAGAAGGCCCATAAGGAGAAAGAAAACAGCACACTCTTAAATAACTTACAAATCAAAGAAGAAATCACAAAAGAAATTGGAAAATACTTTTGAGTTGGATGAAAGGAAAAGTCAGCATACCAAAACACATGGAACACAGTTAAAACAGATCTAACAAGGAAATTAACAGCTTAAAATGCCTATATTACAAAAGATCCCAAATGAATTATACATGTCAAGAAACTATATAAAATAGAGCAAACTAAACCAAAGATATCAGAAGACAGGAAATAATAAAGACTAGAAGGAGATGAACAAAACAGACTACAAAATAGAGAAAATCAATGTAACTGTAAGATGATTCTTTGAAAAGATCACAAAACTGGCAAACCTTTAGCTAGACTGAGCAAGAAAAAAGAGAGAAGACTCATAAAAAATTAGGAATGAAAGAGGAGATATCACTAGCAATCTTACAGAAATAAAAAAGATTGTAAATAGATTGATGGTTGCCTAGGTCTGGGTGTGGGTAGTGACTACTAGCAGGTATGGGGTTTCATTTGGTATGATGAAATGTTCTGCACTTAGATTGTTGTCTCAGTTGCAAGACTCTGTGAATATAGTAAAAGCCAATGAACTATACTTTAAATAAGTGAATTTTACAGTAATTATATCTCAATAGAATTGTTTCAAAAAGTCGGGATAAAACAGGACCCAAATTTTGGGAAAATGATTATCTCCTGAGAAGGAGGAAGTTACTTCCTTCATGAAATCAGAGGGTAATATGAAGAAAAGGTGCAAAAGAGTATGAAGTGAAGTAAAAAATTTGAGGCCTCATGATGAAACATCCTTCTTTTCTTTTCCAGATCTCAGGCCTTTTCACAAAGCTGTCCTCCCAATATCTCAGAAGTTCTGCCTTCTCAAAACTCAACTATGTGACCCACCTGTCATGGCCTTCTCCATATTAGTTACCATCACTCACCTGAGCACCACTCTTTTGTCTCCTTCCTTTTAATAATCCAGGGCTCCTTCCCCTGTTCCAATAAGGAGATCACATCCGGCTTAGAATCAGAAAGTCCTACTCAAGGTAAAAAAGGGGACGAAGGTATATTGTGGATATTTCAGAATTGATATCAGTCCATGATTATCAAGAGGAGTAGGCAGATTAAGGATGAAAGTCAGAGGAATAAAAAAGATAAAATTGTAAAATTGAGCAACTAATTTTTAATTTCACAAGAAACAACCATTCTTTGGTAAGTAAGAATTATTAATTCAGCCAGGCACTTGAAAAACGACTCATAAGAAATTGATAACAAAGAACATAAACATTCCAGAAGGCAAATTCTGAATTTTGAGGGGCAGATAAACTTACCCAGTGAGATCAAGTTGTTATAATTTTCCAACATTACAGCTCGGTATAAATCCTTCTGAGTAGAGTGCAAGCATTCCCACTCCTTTTGAGAGAAGAAAATGGCCACATCTTTGAACTTCAAGCCCTGAAACCACAGATGAACACACTATTTGAGAAATTAATAGACAAAATATTTACAATAGAATAAAAGAAAATGAAGGAAGCAATTCAGTAAGGGAACACTGTTTGGAAAAGAGGCTATGCTGGACCCTTCAACATGAATGGGTGAGTATGGGAATAAGAGTGATCAGAGCACTCATCATTCTTGGTATATACATCATTCTTAAAAATGCTTGCAACTATAAATATAACCTCTTGGCATTATCCTCTTCCATTATCCACCCAGGTCTTGGAATAAATAAAGGTCATATAACTGGTGTTTCCCAATTAAATAAAATTGTACACTGAAGTACACAGCACACTTTATGTTCAGCACAGAGCACCTGGGATCATCTTCCCATTTTTACAATAAAGAAGTTTTTTTTTTTAAAGTCTGAACCAGACATAATTTTTATAGGTGGTATGACACCCCATTCACATTACTAAAGTGAATGTAAAAAACTTGCCATCTATGAATCTACTTTAAGACAGTCTGGTTTGGCAGTGCTATCAACAGAAGCAAACACTGTCTAATCCTAGAGAAACAACCAGGGCTCAAGAACCCATGGGTTAATACCAAAGAAAATGACCCAAGAGTTACAGGAACTAGTATAAAGGACACATGGACAACAACTAAGGGGGGTGGAAATGGGAGGGAAATGGGGAGCAATGGGGGGGGCAGGGCTGGGATGGAAGTAAAAGACAGAAAACTGTATTTAAACAATAATTAAACAAATTTTAAAAAATAAAATAAAATAAACCAAAAACTAAAGATCTGAATGAAAAGATTAAAAAAAATAGAACACTGTATTGTGAATGTACTGTATGCCACTGCACACTACATTATAAATGGCTGTTATATAAATTTCACTTAAATAAAAAACAAAACTCTACAAATGACAGGTAGATGTAAAAGAAACAAAGAAAAACTTCTAGAAGAAAAACCACAGTACTTAAAATTAAATTACACAATGACTGGAATAAATAGTCTCTGAAGAGAAAAATTACTGGTCTAAAAGATATAAAAACAGATTATGCAGTATGCTATCAAGAAAGACAGTGTGGAGCTCTGGCCAGTGTGGCTCAGTTGGCTGGAGCATTGTCCTGTGGATGGAAAGGTCATTGTTTTTGATTCCTGGCAGGGCACATCCCTAGATTGCAGGTTCGGGCCCTAGATGAGGTGCATACAGGAGGCAAACAATCAATATTTCTATCTCTCTCTTTCTCTCCCCACCCTCTGCTCCTTTCTCTTCTCTCTAAAATCAGTAAACATGCCTTGGGTGAGGATTTAAAAAAAAAAAGAAAGACAATGTAAGAAAGTATAAAAGTTAAGAATATAAAGTGAGAAGGTTTAAGAGATATCAAACTAGAGTTCTGGAAGAAAAAAGAAACTTTTAAAAAGTCAGTAATTCAAGACATAAAGTTTTCAGAACTCTCAAAAGAAAGCATTATCCAGAAGTCCAAAGAGTTTCAAACAGGATAAATAAGAAGAAATCCTAGACAATTATAGCAAAACTTCAGAGCATTAAAAGCAAATAGATATGTTAAAAGTAATTTTGGACTAAATAAACTATCTACAAAAGAAAAACAGATTACTATTCAATAGCAACAATGCTATCCAGAAGACAGCAGACTATCTCAGTAAGTTAAAAGAAAATTATCTTGATAAATGAGGGCAAATGAAGATATTTAAGAACAAATAAATAAGCAAAACCCCCCAGAAATTCATTACAGTATGTACATACTTCCGTTTGAAGAAAAATTATACCATTTAGAGGGTTTGAGACGTAACAGTGGTGAATGAAGAAAGTGGCAGTAAAGTGTGGATAACCTAAGCTAACATTCAAATATAAAATAATAAAAATGTTTATGGGTTAAAAAATGATGGAAGAAAAATATCTGATAACAATATAAGTTATTTTAACAACTGGAATATCCTATTTCTTTATATTATTCAGCAAGAGCATAAATGTGATTTTAGTTTTAGACATTGGTAAGTTAATACAGTATGTTAAAATTCCTAAGGTAATCAGTAAATAAACAGATTAGTTTCTAACTTTCAAACTCACAAAGGGGAAATAAAATGAGATGTTTAAATTACAGAAAAGTTAGAATAAAAAGCACAAACTAAGTCAATAATTATACTTTCAATTATATCAGTAATTACAACCACTATTGGACTAAATGTTCTCATTAAAAGATGAAGTTGGTAACCCTGACTGGTGTGGCTCAGTGGGTTGGGCATCATCCTGCAAAGTGAAGGTTGCCAGTTCTATTCCTGGTCAGGCTACATGCCTGGGGTGTGGGCCAGGTCCCTGAGTCGGGCATGTAAGAGGCAACTGAGCAATGTTTGTCTTGCACATCGATGTCAATCCCTCTCTTTCTCTCTCCTTTCCCCACACTCTAACAAATACAATCTTTAAAAAATAAAAGATAAGTTGCTAAAAAAAACCAAGCCCAGTTATATTCTCTTTATGAGATATATCCAAAACATAAATATCCAGAATGACTAGAAGAGGCTATAAGATAACTTTCATACACACCTAAAAAATAAATATGTTCTATACAGACACAGATACATATAAAAAATAACAAATCCTCACCATTATGGGAGAATATACCACTCAAAATTGATAGACACAGCAGATAAAAAGTCAGTAAAAAAAATTAACAAGCTTTATACAATGGCCACATAGAGAGCAATGCACTCATTCAAAATCAATCATATGTGGAGGATTCAGAAAAACTGAACACATTGGGCTTTAACATAGATAACCATTTTGAACAAATACATACTAATAAAAAGATGCACATTAATAAGATAGCCTATGGAGAGATAGTAGATGAAATAAAAGATAAATAAATAATCAGAACAAGAAAATGACCTTGCTCAGACCAGTGATAACAAAATCGCATGAAGTAAAGATTACAAATAATGTAAAAATGTACTTGATGCATCTCCCCACACTCCCAAGGGAAATCAGTGTGTAGTAAGACAAAAATTAGAACAAAAGGGAACCCTAGTGCAATGTTGGTGGGATTGCAGACTGGTACAACCACTATGGAAAACAGTATGGAATTTTCTCAGGAAACTAAAAATGAATTTGCCTTTTGACCTGGGAATTCCAGTGCTAGGATTATACCCTAAGAATCCTGAAACACCAATCCAAAAGAACCTATGCACCCCAATGTTCATAGCAGCGCAATTTACAATAGCCAAGTCCTGGAAGCAACCTAGGTGCCCATCAGTAAATGAATGGATCAAAAAACTAAGGTACATTTACACAATTGGAGTTCTATGCAGCAGAAAGAAAGAAGGAGCTTCTACCCTTTGCAACAGCATGGATGGAACTGGAAAGCATTATGCTAAGCGAAATAGGCCAGGTGGTGAAAGACAAATACCACATGATCTCATCTTTAACAGGGACCTAAACAAAAAAACAATCAAACAAGAAAAATATAACCAAAGACACTGAAATAGAGAACAGGCTGACAGTGACCAGAGGGGAGAGGAGAGGGAATTTCAGGGGAAAAGGGGAAGGGTTTACAGGAACAAGTATAAAAGACACATGGTCAAAAACTGGGGTGGGGGTAGGTGAAAGGGGAGGGGGGGGCATGGGTGGGATGGGAGTAAAAGACAGAAAACTGTACTTGAACAACAATTAAAATGAAAAAATAATAAAATAATAAATAAAGTCGAGGTAAGAAAAAAATTAGAACAAAAATGAAGGCTAAAAAAGGAAAACACTGTATTTATAGGTAATATAATTATTTACAGACAAAAAGTATCCTTATTCATCCATGCTATAATTATCTAGTTGGAAACTCCCAATCCAAAAGAATTTGCAAGACATTAGAATGAAAGTTCAGCAGGTTGGATGATCTAAAATCAATATCTAAATATAAGTTTCATATCTCTATACCAGAAAAAATGAGGAAATTATGTTTAAAACTTAATAGCATTTACAAATACCACAACATACAAAAATTCCAAGTGTTAGATAGGATAAGGGTCTCAAGGTTCTTGTTAAATGTTAAAATGTGGCACAGTATTTTGTAGATGCAGTTGTAAATGGAATGGGGTTGACAAGAACTCAACCAGATAAGTATAGCAAAGACAGTATCAATGTTTAATTAATTAAACAGTGTATATAAGCAATGACTAAACCTCTCTTCCTGGAGACAGAGCTTTGAATGTGAATCCTCTGTCTCCTTTACTTGTTGCAAGTAAATAAAACCACCTATCAACAGCCATGTTTCATTGGTTAATAGAACACCCCAAGTGGCAAACCCCTTGAGGTTTGTAACACTAGGAATTAACAAAAGATGTGTAAAACTCTGATTATAAAATTTTACTAAAAAACATTTTATAGCCCTGGCTGGTATAGCTCAGTGGATTGAATGCTGGCCTGTGAATCAAAAGGTCACTGGTTCAATTCCCAGTCTGAGCACATGCATGGGTTGCAAGCCTGGGTTATGGGCCAGGTCTCCAGTCAGGAGAACACAAGAGGCAACGACATACTGATGTTTCTCTCCCCTTCTTTCTCTCTCCCTCCTCCTCTCTCTAAAAATAAATAAGTAGGATCTTAAAAAAAAAACATTTTATAAGACCTACATATGCAGTTATACCAGTAAGAGAGAGAGGAAAACAGCTTTAACAATGTGAACCCTCTCTAGACTGACCACAAAGTCAATGTAGAACAAGTTGATATGCCAAGTGGATTTCTAGGAAACTTGATCAACCTATTCTAACATTTATGTGACAATCCAAAGGCCAGGGAACAGCTATGAGACTCCTGGAGAACAATACTATAATAAAAGAACATGACTTACAAAGTCATGGAAAAAGCACTTGGATGGAACAAGCACTTCCATCCAAGATGGAGGCATAGGTAGACACACTGTACCTCCTTGTACAACCAAAATAAGGACAACAAAAATTCTGAAACAAAATAACAACCAGTGCCCTGGCTGGTGTAGCTCAGT